CGATCACAACCATACTTCAGGGTAAGGCCACATTCCAATATTTTTTCTCAGTTGTCACTTATTTTCTCAATTGTCAGTTACTACTAAACCCGAATGTCTGATATTCTGAGCTCCATCTATAGGTGTGGCATGAATGGGAAATAAAGCATTTTTGTAATCTGTGCCAACGCAGACATGCTTATCGGGGCTCTAGAAACAAACATGTCCCCATGCAGGCTGAGGGGGGTAGACAAGAAGACAGAAGTCAGGATATGTTTTCTGAGAGACCCAGGGCCCCTTTGTCTATCCCTGGGATGTGCTTGCTTCTGGCTCAGGACTTGCTGTTCACTCCCTGAGCTCAGGACCCCCAGGAAAGCCTCTCTCTCGGCTGAGACGATGCCCTACAGGAGGACCCCTGACATGAGGTAGCTGGCCCTCAGACCCATCGTCTGCTCGCTTTCCCCCAGGAGCCCCATTACTCTTGAGCTGTCTTCCTCTCTGGCTACATGTTTGGGGAGCTATAAGGAAATATCATTTCCTTGGGAGTCTTGAGTCTAAAACACAAAGCCATCAGCTCAGAGAAATTAAAGAAATATGTCTGGCCTTAAACCAGCTGTGAATTGAACTTGAGGTTGCACGAAGTCACTTCATCAAAGTCAGAGTCATTCAAAACACAGATAAACAATGAAACTCAGTTAAACCTAAATTTTAGATACCAGTACTGAGATGAAGTTACAAGCATCACTAGGAGAAGATTTCGTTTTTCTTGAAATAAAAACTCGGGACATCCTCGTCATGTGGCCTTATAAAATAGGACACATTTACTGGTACCCAAAGGATCTCCCAATTGTTTTCCAAAAGCCTCAGAGAGAGGGCAGAAAAGTGGTGCTGTTTTGACTCGGATTTGATTTCCTTGAAGTAAAAATTTACGATGTGCTTGGACACCCAGTCATGTGAAAGTGGACGTCTATACTTAGTACCACTGGAGGATGTGATTGAAAATTATTTTTATATTAAACAATTGGCTTCTTGTTTCACGTTGGTATGTTTGTGGTCTTAGATCACTGACGTTTGTTGTTGAAATGGGACTAAAAGCAGGATACGTGGAATCCTGGCTTCATTGTTATCAATTTGACATGAAAAAACCCTTTCAAGTTTTCAGTCAATCATCTGAAACGCAGCATCGGTCTAAGTCCGGACTGATAGGACAGGGTGGGACTTCCCCTCCCGGGTACTTGAGACGGCAACTTTTCTGTGGCTGTTCGGTGCCATCGAGTTGGTTCTGACCCATAACGACCTTATGCACACCAGAACGAAACACAGCCCGGTCCGGTGGCATCCTCGCCATTGTTCCTGTGCCGGAGCCTATTGTTACAGCCACGGTGTCCATCCATCTCCTTGTGGGCCTTCTTTTTTGCTGTCACTCTTTACAGGAGTAGAAAGCCTCTTCTTTCTCCTGAGATGCTGCTGGTGCTTTTGAACTGCTGACCTTGCAGTTTCCAGGCCAACCATTACCACTGTGCCACCGGGGCTCTTCTTGGCTGTGTTGAAAACACGGGAATTCACCTTTGTCGGAACTCTCTGTCCAGAGAAAACCAAAGAAAACGTAGTAATCCCTAAACTACTCACTATGCAGTGAACACCCCCTTCACACACCTTCTGGTGCCACCAAATCCACAGAAAAACTGATAGAGGCTACCCCCTCCAAAGGAGACCTTATTCTGCCCCTGGATGTGGAGTGAACAGTGGTCAGGACAATGGTGGGTGAGGGTCCTCTGTCGGGATCGCCTGTCATCTGATCGCAATGGTGAATAGACAGGGCCTGGGGCAGGGCAGGACAGCAGGGGGCGCTGTGGTCTTGCCACTGTGTGGTCAGGATGGGCTCTTAGGTGGGGAACCCAGCACTTGTCTCTTGGGTTGAAGTCAGGCTCACTGCGTAGGAACTGGCTCCTCTCTGGGCCCCTGGGGAGCAGATCAGACCCAGCCCAGCCCTCCCTCATGGGACACCCAACCACAGGGGATGCACACAGGATCCAGGGAGACACTGGTTGGCCAAAAAAAAAGGGACATATTTGCATAATGGGCCCCTCTCTCCCCAGGGACTTAAAGGGGACGAGAAAGCCCTGTGTTGTATCTGTTCCTTCAGAGCACTAGGGTGTCTGCACCATGGCTGGGACCCCACTCCTCTTCCTCACCCTCCTGCTTCATTGCACAGGTCAGCATGGTCCCAGCCCCCTGACTCCCCAGGTCCCTGAACTAACTCCCAGCCTCATTTCTGGCAGGTCCTTCTCTCTTGTCCCTTCTCTGAGACATGCTGTGTGTCTGTGTTTTCAGGGTCCCTCTCACAGCCTGTGCTGACGCAGTCTCCCTCTGCATCTGCCTCCCTGGGAGCCTCAACCAAGCTCACCTGCACCCTGAGCAGTGCTCACAGCACCTACACAATTGAATGGTTTCAGCAGAGAGCAGAGAAAAGCCCCCGGTTCGTGATGAGAGTGGGCAGCAGTGGCATGGTAGGATCCAGAGGGGATGGGATCCCAGATCGCTTCTCAGGCTCCAGCTCTGGGGCTGACCGCTACTTGACCATCACCAACGTCCAGGCTGAGGACGAGGCTGACTACTTCTGTGGTGCAGATTATAGTGGTGGGTACTACACAGTGGCAAGTGTGAATGGGGAACTGAGACAAAAACTCTGTCTGCCTTACAACCACTTCTGAGACATGGGCCCAGAAAACGTCTGGGGTACTCAAGCTCAGAAATGCTGGAAACTCTCCAGGAGAGACCCAGACTGGTGATTTCTGCCATGCACTCCCTGGTAATAAGCCCGGCTTCTTGAGAGTGCAGGGATCCCAGTTATGGATGGAGCTGTTAAAGTGGGAACAGAGGGCAAAGAAAAAGAAGGACAGGTACAAAGTCTTTCTCTCTTATTGTTTTATAACGATACATGCAAACATAAAGGAATGCAATCATCCTTATGAGGATTGATTTTTTTACATGGACGAGATTTCCCAATGTGAGAATCCTGGTCACTATCCTTTTCTGAATATTTCCTCCACGAGTAACATAAACTTACTGACTTCAAGCAAAAATTCCTCATTTCCCCCTGCATGCTAAGGAGTGGAGGAAGGCTTCCTAACAACCCGAGATATACAGACGGCACAACCTTGATCGCTGGAAGTGAGGCCCGGAAGCACTTGGGATGAAGATCAAGGACTGCAACCTTCAGCACGGACTGCGGTGCAATGTAAACAAGACAGAGATCCTCGCAGCGGCCCCAGTAGACCACATCGTGATCAATGAAGAAAAGATTACAGCTGACAGCATTAAGTCTTGCTTGGATCTACAGTCAATGCTCCTGGAAGCAGCAGTCAGGAGATCCAACAAGACGCTGCATTGGGAAACCCTGCTGCACAGACCTCTGAGACATTCTGAAGAACAAAGGTGTCACATTGCGAGGGCTTAGGTGTGCCTGACCCACGCCAAGATCTAGCCATTCGCTTCATAAACGTGTGAGAGTTGGACGTTGAATAAGGAACCCTGAAGAAGAACTGATGCATTTGGGTGCTGGTAAAGGACAGTGAAATTATCGTGGACTGCCAGAAGAACAAATCAACCTGCTTGGAAGAAATACATCCAGAATGCTCCTTAGAAGCAAAGGTAACAAGACTTTCCCTCATGTGCTTTGGACAAGCTGTCAGGGTAGACCAGTTCCTGGAAAAGGCCTTCATGCTGGGCAGAGTCGAAGGCCAACCAAAAGGAGGAAAGCTCTCAGTGAGATGGATTCACACAGGCAGCACCAATGGAGTCAAACACAACTACAGTTGTGCAGCTGGTGCAGGACCCGGCAGTGTTTCCATCTGTGTACAGACGGTCGCTATGACTCAGTGGAGCCTATCAATATACCCCTGGTAGCCACATAGACTCTTTGGTTCATCTATATGAGTCAGGTCACGTCGTATTTGTCCATGTGTGGCTGACTTCTTTCATTCAGTAAAATGTGCTCATCCGTATTGTAACATGTATCAGATCTTCAACTCTCCTTTCATCCTTGTGTGTGTCTATACAACATTTGGCTGATCCATTAATCCATTGACGGGCATATTGGTTGTTTTCAACATGTGTCTAGTGTGAAAATGGTGAACTAAATGTTGGTGCATTGGTTTCTGTTTGCATTCTCACTTTCAACGCTGTCAGGTAGACTTAGGATTGGGATTCCAGGGTCACATGGCAGTCACCTTCTTAGGGAACCCCCACATTGTTTGCCACAGGGTTGTACTATTTTATCCTCCCAGGAGTAATGGATGAGGGGTTTATTTTCTCCTTAGCCAATCCAAAATCTATTGTTTTCTGTTCAATTCATCATTGCTAGTGTGATGGCATGAGGGTCTCCTACCATTCTTCCCTAGCTTATTATAGCTGATGCCCCCTGTTTCGATCACAAGGAAGGGACAAAACAAGTTGTCCACACAGTGGATGGTCCCTATGTATGAAGAACAATTGAGGGGCCAGTCAAGTCCTATGTCTCTGACACCCACTGTTGGTGTGCCAGCCAGCTTGTCCCTCGGGTTGAAACTGGCCATTGCCTATTGATGGGAATTTATCAGCCAGCCACTTCCTGGAGGGATCCCTGCATGCAATGACCCCATCAACTTGTTTCTAGTAATTTGTAGAGTCAGCTCCAGACTCAATGGGAAAAAAGGAAGACTCTGATCGGTTATGATACCAGATGTCAGCCTTACAGACAATATCCGGGGCCATGGAATACACAGTGAGTCACTTGCTTCCACATTCCCTGACAATGACAATAAAGAAAGCCCACACTCCCTCCAGGAACCCCACCAGAGAATGGCAGTACTTTTCTTTGACTTATCAGAAAAGATATTTCTTATGTGCTGATGTCACCAAGCTTTTCTTCCTCGGATGAACTAACAAGTTCCTCCTGAGTGGCTTGTAACAACAGCCAAGCAGTAGTTTGTTAAGCAGAAATTCATTTAGAGAGAGGATGAAGCTGGCCCCCTGGAGATGGGAGGAAGATTCCAGTGTGGGGGTTTGATATCAAGTTTTCTAGCGATCATGTGGCAGGACCCCGGTGGCTAGTTTAGGCCCAAACTGAATCCTTTCATTGATCTTAACCTTTGTGTTTTGATTGGTCGGCGAGGCCTCTGAGTGACTATTGATGAACAGTCCTTTGGGCATCTGTCTGGACTCCCGGTTCTCATTTGAGGCATGGGGCAGCTCAGGGACTGCTAGGTTTTGGGTGCTCCGCATCTGGCCTGACCTGACAATATTGACGTTGCTCCAGACTCTTCCTTGGATCTTGGATCTCCTTCATTACCCGTGACTTCCTTAGTCCCTCTTGCCCAAGTGGTCCCCAGGCTGCTAGTTGTCATTCCTAGGTCACCCCATGGCTCCTTCCAGTTACTGAGGTTCTCCTTATTTTGCCATTAACTCAACCTACCCACCATGCAAATGTATCCCCCACTCACCATTCTCCCAGGGACCAAAGCAAGTCGGGACTGCAGGCAGTCAGAGAAGCCTTGCTTTGTGAGCAGCATGGGCAGCGGATTCATGGGACTTTCCCTTTTCTCCACTAATGTACTTTTTTATTATTTCATGCAGAGTGTGTGTACAGGTGCTACTGTCACGCGGGAGTCCTGATTGTATGGAATGGATTGTGTTTCTGAAGGCTACTGAGGAAGCCAAAAAGTTAACTGAAAGAAGGCGAGGAGCATCCTGAAGAGGAGGCTTTGCTCGGCCCTTGAGCAGCAGTAAGTGCTGACAGGGCAGGGGAGGAGCCATGAATCTGTTAGGATTATTTGTCATCTGTTCAGGGGCATGCATGACCGAAGGCAGTCGGGGTGCTATGAGCCTGCCGCTGATGGGGTTGTGGGGGCTTCAGTTGAGAAAACAGCCACTTGTCTCCTGTAGTCTGCTCAGAGCCAACAGATGGCTTCTCAATGCCCCTTGAGAGCAGACGGGGGCACAGGCTTGGCATTGACTTCCCAAAGATGACACTAATTGCTGAATATACACCCAGGACTCAGGGAATCCTTAGGGAACAGGGGAAGAAGAACACATTTGCATGAAGGGATCCTCTCTTCTCAAGGGTTTAAGAGGTAAGAAAGGCCTGGGTTGTTCCTGTTCCATCAGAGCTCTAGGGTGTCTGCACCATGGCTGGGACCCCACTCCTCCTCCTCCTCACCTTCCTGCTTCACTGCACAGGTCAGCATGGTCCCCAGGTCCCTGAACTAACTCCCAACCTCATTTCTGACTCACCTTTCTCTCTTGTCCCTTCTCTGAGACATGCTGTCGGTCTGTGTTTCAGGCTCCCTCACAGTTCCAGCCTGTGCTGACTCAGTCACCCCCTGCATCTGCCTCCCTGGGAGCCTCAACCAAGTTCACCTGCACCCTGAGCAGTGGTCATGGCAGCTACTAAATACAATGGTATCAACAGAGATCAGAGAGAAGCCCTTGGTTCCTGATGGCAGTAGGCAGCAGTGGCATGGTAGGATCCAGAGGGGATGTGTTAGGTTCGATCTCCTGGCCAGTCAGGGGTGGTTCACCTAGGTGGGTGTTACACCTGGATCGGCCCATCTAGGACAGGTGAATTTGATTCAGCCAATGGGGTCAACCAGTATCATTGACCATTCCTCCAAATAGGGTGGGGGACGAGCTGCAAAGGTCAGAAGTTTTCTCTCTGACTCTCTCTCCCAGCAGCTCTGACACACAGCCCAACACGGCTGTGCTGTGTCCCACCAACTATACCGTGGACTCTGTCTGGCTTGTGTTCCATTTACTATAAAACCTGAACCTGCTTCTAACTGTCCTAAAACTCTCTTGGATCACAAACCAGGCTTTGGCATGACTTCTTTCTCGCCCAAAGCCAAGGACTGAGGTATATCTCTCCTACAAGAGAGAGATCTAACAGATGGGATCCCTGGTTGCTTCTCAGGCACCAGCTCTGTGGTTGACCACTACTTGGCCATCACCAACGTCCAGCCTGAGGACGTGATTCACTACTTCTGTGGTGTACCTTACATTAGTGGGTAGTACACAGTGACACAGATGGATGGAGAAGTGAGTTAAAACTCCTTCTCTGCCGCACTGCCACTACTGGGACCTGGTTCTAGAGAGTGACAGGTGTCACCAACCAAGAAAAGTGTGTGACTCATGGGAAGGGAGAGGCTGTGCTCTAAAATCGATGTGGCGGTGATTGTACAATTCTCCGTGATGTGATTGATTGAACTATTGAATTATATGATATGTCAATTACTTGCCAATAAAACTGTTGAAAAAAATTGTGTTTGTCGAGCGAGATGACAACGGAGTAGCACATTCAGAAGGAACTACAGAGAGACCAGCCTAGAGGGGCCACGGAGAGGGATTGCCTACATTTCCAGATCACAAGATTCTCAGCATAAAGGTAAATACACACAAATCTATTAAAATCAAAGAGCAATCAGATCTGCTGCTAGCCTGTCTTTTTTCACTGGCCCTCAGCAGTAGCCGGCAGAGCACAGATCCCCAACTCTCCTGAAGGATTTTTCCCAATCTAGAAGCAAGCTAGGGTGGGTGATGGGCTACAATCCATGGACATAGCTCGAAGGGACCAGCCGAGGCTGGGTACAAGCACAAATAGGTCTGGCTCTTGGCCCAAGTCATAATCACTCTACAGGGCAACCTGGAGGGGCCTAAATAGTGAAGAGCGTAACTCTCC